AGGAACCTGGAAAACACCGTATCAGTTATTCAATAAGGTACACAAATATACAACTGCTGTGTGAAACTTAAAGCTAAACAAGATCATTATTTGACAGCCTACCTGGTCACCAATTTTGAGAGGAACTATATCTTAGCTAGTTACATGAGGTCTTCCTGTCAACAGCAACTGACAAATTTAAATAATCTATAAATTATAGCATACCATCTATATTTAATTCTCTATTGTTCCTTTAAAAATGGGTGATTGCTTCAGTAGTCGGTGTTCATATTATATTAGTGGCAAATAAATTTTCTATTACTGGACAATAATTAATATGTTTGTTGAGAACTGAGTTTGTATAATGAATCAAACGAAAATTGGGGAATGCATATGTTAATAAATGAATCCATCATGCAGATTGGTACGTTGACATAACTAAACTTGCTTCTAAGCAAATTCTAGTTAATTATATGAATGTTTGATTTGTACTCCGCCGCATGTATTTTGGGAGCTTTAAATTTACAATTGAATGCCAAAGATCTAGAATTTTGATGTATAGCAACGTTATGGCTCCTATATCTCCTATTTATTAAGTTGGGAAAATTATTTGGTTCTTATAGACAACTGCTAAACATGTTTGCTTAAAGACGAAATATAAGGGTTTAAGAGAGTTACGATTTAAGGAAAAAACTCAACATCTAATAGAAACAGTTGTGGCGGCACAAACCTCAAGATGTATATTTTGTTTGAATTGCCTTTAAATCAAGAAGGTGAGTTGCCTTTTTTGGATGATGTGATTTTGTTTTGATTATGCCTGGAGAACCATCCAGTACATTTTGTTCATGGAACTCATATTATGTTTATTTAAAGACGTGTTTATTCTGACATAGTTGATCTGCTCGGATACATCAAAAAATACGTGCGACTTGTCTGTGTCTAAAGACCCACACAATCACACATATCATTAGCAAAACATTATTCTGCTGCAATATTTCTGCTGGCCACAGCTTTGTATGGGCATCTATGTCAGACATCCCTGTGCCCTAGTTTCTCCCCTAGTTTCTGCATTTTTTGGTATATGTAGATTCTTGATGCATGGATACGAGACAAATACATGCCAATTGAGTCAAGATATTGACTACTTCGTCCATGAAAGCCGATAACCATACCTCCTTAAATTGGTATTGTAAATGGAGTACCTTCTTCAATCCCATTATTCTATGTAGACCATTTAATGTCCATAACATTACATTTACTGTTGAAGTCTGCTTCTTTGAGATGTTGCTTCTTTAATTAAATAAAATTTATGATTGTTTTTCTGTGTTTTACAAATAGGAGAAAAAACATGGTCGCAAACCCGATCCTATTGAGATATTTTATATAGTGCACAAACGGCGAGATGAAAAGAAAAGTTGGATAGATGATGCATCGGAGGAATTAGCGGTGAGTTTGAAATTTAATAATTTGTATTTAGCAAGTAATACATGTAAAAAAAATTGTTTTACTTCATATTTTTTCCATTTTGGCTGTTGAAGTGAATTCTTTTTTCAGGTTAAGATCTCACGGGAATTAACGAGTTTGGTTGAAACCCATGGCAAGGAAACATCAGAACTAAGGCAATAAGCTTATGTAGCAGCAAGGGGTTTAGAGACTCATGGTAGAGTTTGTGGTTATGGAAGAGGGGTGACGCCAGACATGATTCCTTGGGTGGCACAAACTCAACCAACATCTTCATCACTTCGATCACGTACTGGGCGAGCATATGCTAATTTGCAATCTCAATATTCAGAACTTGAGGAAAAGTATGAGCGACAACAAAAGGAGTTGGATGAGTTAAAACTGATGATCACTTCAAGGAACGCACATCCGCATCAACAATCTTCCTCCCAACAACAGTCTAACTCCCAGCAGGGGTCTTCATCCCAACAACAGTCACCTTACGAACAAATTCCGACATCTTGCCCATATCCACCATATCAGCATCGTCGTCCGCGATCTCCTTCCCAACAACACTCACCTTCCCAGCACACTCCGACATCGTACCCATATCCTCCATATCAGCATCTTCCACCGTATCCGTATACATCATCTTCGCAGTTCTACTACCCCCATCCATACCAGCCACCTTTGTACCACCCAGTGCCACACCCACCTGGAGAGTTTACAGCAATGCTCCGTATCCGTATACATCATCTTCGCAGTTCTACTACCCCCATCCATACCAGCCACCTTTGTACCACCCAGTGCCACACCCACCTGGAGAGTTTACAGCAATGCTCAATGATTCAGATTTTATGCAGCAGATGATGCCACCAAATGATAGGAATGACAGGGATAAAAGTTAGATATTTTTACATTCATTCATGTTGAAGGTCAACTTTGTTGGTTATTTAAGTTATTGTTATGTACTATTTGTCACACGCTTTTTAACCAATTTTGGTACATTATTATGTAATCAAATTGGATTGACTTCTTATTAATCAAAATTATTCATGTTTCAATTATTTTATGTTTGTTTTTCAATTTAATTATATGAATTAAAAATTAATTATTTTTTTGGATTTATTAAAAAAATAAAATATTAATATCAAATTTAAGATATTAGAGGCAATTATATTTGTACCTTAAATTAATACATTTATTTTAATTCCAACTATTTGGGGCAGTTACATCTGCATCTAATAAGTTATTAGAGGCGATTATATTTGTACCTTAAGTAAATACATTTATTATAATTCAAACTATTTGGGGCATTTATATCTGCATCTAATAAGTTATTAGAGGCAATTATATTTGCCTCTAATACTTTTTCAACTAAATCGGCTGACATGGCGCATTGAGTATTTGGGGCGAAAGTTTGTGCAATATTGCCCCTAATAACTATTAGCAACACCACTTTTAGGTGCGGATACGAGTTTTGCCACTCATGTAATTAGAGGCAGATAATTCCATTTATTTGCCTCTAATTGAATTAAAAGTGACGAAAATAATTGCCCCTAACTCTTCTTTTTTTTGTAGTGGGGGTTCAGGGGTTAGGGTATGTTAAAGACTTGGGAGAGAGAAATTGAACTTTTGAAAGGGTTCTAAGGAAGCGACGAATGCCACAAAATGAAAGTGTAAAAAATTCACAATTTTTTTAGAGGAAGTGACCAAGGAATTAAAAGGTGACCAAGGAATTAAAATAAAACAACTTCAATATTAAACATTACCATGAGGAAATGGAAGGGCTGAGGAATATATAAACCTAAACATCGACTTACGATGTAGGAACTACTTAAAAGTGCTCTGAGGAAGAATGCTACAAATGTCAACAGTATCAAGATTTCATATGAGTAAGGGCATTAAAAGATTGAATTGTTTATAAACGCTTATGCAAAGCATGAAAGCTTACGTGCTAAGGAAACTTACACGTTGGTATAAGAGACTGAGGGGGGTTAAGTATGTTAAAGCCTAAAGAAGCAGATTTTGAACTTTTGCTGCACAATATTAAACTTTCCCAAAAGGAAAATATAAATCGGAGACGTCAACTACTTAAAAAGTGTTTTGAGGGGTAAGAATGCTACAAACGACAAGAAATTTTACATTTTATATGAAAAGGGGCGTTAAAAGATTGAAATGTTTATAAACACTTGTGAAACGTAGAGCATCCTATGTAGTGAGGAACCTTGCATGTTGATTTAGAAGATTGAAGACTTAAGTATATTAAACCCTCAGGAAGCAGATTTTCAAAACTCGAAAATTTTGTAAGACAACTGTCAATATTGAATTTTCCAATAGGAAAATATGAATTTTAGACAGGAACAATTGAAACTACTTATTTGTTTTTGAGGGCATTAAAAGATAGAGATGTTTGTAAACAATTGTGCAAAGTATGAAATCTTACGAGGGTCTCTCGAGGCATTAAGGAATCTTATTAAAACAAAAGGACCAGAATATGTCACTTTAACTCAACAGAACTTGATCAAAGAACGTGCGAATGTTCAAATTGAGAAAGCTAAGGGACTCGAACACTTTCATTTTACTTGCAACAAAAAAAAAGTGCAAGAAGGAAATTTTAGATAGGGCTTCGGGGGATTATGGAACCAAAGATGGAACAGCACCAAAAATAAAAAATCGAACTCTCCATAACTCATACGTCAAAATCTCAACTACAGATAGCAAGAACTGAACTTTTTTTAACATCCAGCTTGGGAATTCGATCCGCACAAAACCCAGCTGTCAAGATTTCAACTTTAAACGAGCGTTAAAGGAATCATCTAAGGTCCCAAAAAACCCACATGTCAAAATCGGATCTTTCGTCAATTTTCTAGGGTTAGGGTTCGGGAAAACAACAAAATCAAGAGACTTTCGGTCTGTTTTAGGTGCGAAATTGAAATTGGAGGGAGAGAGGAGAGAGAAAGTAGGGAGAGAGGGAGGGAGGGAGGGTGATCTTACCTTTCGCGGATCGGACGGAAGCGGTTGATTCTTGAGATTGCGGCTGAAAGAGAGAAGAAACGAAATAAAATTGAAGGGGGAGGATTAAAAGAGAGAGTTTTGATGAGAGAAGGATACAACACACTATATTAATAATAAATTCCTATTGGGTGGAAGTCACATGATGAGTTGGCTTTCTTCAACCAATCAAAAAAGGGCAAGTGTTGGGGTTCTAGAACAAACCTTTGTTGGTTGGGTGCATGGTGAGTGGGGCAAGGACAAAGGCCTAAGATCTCGCTTAAATGGATGGCAACGTAGGTTAGTGCTCATAATGAGTGTGATTAAAGATAATATTTTCAACTATTTGGGTTTTTTCTTTTTTTTTTGGTTAAAATTTATGGAACCTAACCTAAATTTTTGATCAATTAGTATGAATCTTTTATCATTAGTTTTTTTGGGTTAATTGCATATAGATGTCCCTGTAGTGAGATGCTTCTGAACTTATTACTTCTTTAGTTTGATTTTAACAGATGATTCTACATGTCATGTTTCTTCTTCTTCTTCTCACCACCATATATGTGATTCAATCATGTTAATGTTCTGAGACTCAGCAACGAGATTAGCGGATAATCCTGAGTTTAGCTACGGGGCTCGGGTTCGATGCGTGCGATATGGGTCCCCTCATCCCCTTAGGCGGCCAATCCCCTACTTAAAATGAGTAAGCTACACAATGAGCATGTCAGATAACTGAAGTTTGGTTCTCCGGTGATTCCTACGACGGTCAAGTCAGTATTTGAGCTTGAGTGGAGAAGAAACCAATAAACCGAATACGTTCTTAGTTAAGGTTGCAAAAATTTATACCTGGCTGAGATGCGTAGAAGCGTAACTATGACGGAGTCTAGATAAACAACTGGATTGGCAGATAGCTTTATAGGTGTCAACTGCATATGCGATGAGTCATCTTTGATTGGATGTGATGGTGGTTGAGAAGGTTTGGGGGGTGATGAGTCATGAAGACTCGTGGCATCGGCAATGGTGAGAATAGACAGCTGTTGGTGTGGAGTTTGAGGTCGAACCGCTTCTTGACTCGGCTCTACGAGAGGGACGACAAGCGCTGCATTTCTAGTCAGCCTCGCAAGTTGTCAACCCAGCTCCGAGTGGACGACGGTGATCGGCTCGTCTGATGAGGTTAGGCGAGAGCTTGTCTCAACTCGACCTGACTCGGGAAGGGTCGAGTGCCTAGTCGACCAGAGTCGCCCCTAGCTCGGGTGAGCTGACATGATTGATTAAAACCGATATGGGAAACGTGTTGGCTCAAGGAGAAAAATTAGCACTTAGATAAATTATGATCATAACAAAACCTTCTCTCTTTAGAATTTTAGCCTGACGTTGAAGAGTTCATACTGAATAGCGGAGAAAAGGAGACGACCAAGGCGAAATTAAAAAAGGGAATTTTGAACTTGGATTTAAGCATTAACCCTACCCTGATGGGCCTGATCTCTCTCTAAATTTTGAGCAAAAGAGGGAGAAGACCGCGTGTTTCTCACGTGCTTCAAATAGTCCCAATTACCAAAATAATTACTCTTTAATACACTCCTCCACGTTAGTGATTAGACCTTGCATTTGACACAGCCCACGTTTCCCTAAAAGAGTAGGCCCAGCCCAACAACACGTAACCCTCGGCCCGCTTAGGGTTTAAGCTACCGCTTCCCCTTCTAATTTCGAGCCCTAGCGAGCAGCGATTCCTCCCTCTCCCCTCGCCAAAATCCTCTCATCATGAAGCTCGTCAGGTACGGGAATTTTAATTGTTTCCCCCCCAGTTCAATTCGTGTATTTTCTCGTTTATTTTATTATCTGATGCGCTCGAGATCAGGTTTTTGATGAAGCTGAACAACGAGACGGTCTCCATCGAGCTCAAGAACGGCACTGTCGTCCACGGGACAATCACAGGTTTCTCTTCGCTCTTTCGATTTCTTTACTGTTCTTGGGTTA